AATACTAAAAGTGTGGAGTACTAACTAAATTGTGCTAAATAGTGCAATAGTGTAGATTAGACAATAAAAAATAAATAAAAACAAACAMAGAAATTCATTGCARTGAAGTCAAAAAACCGTGAAATAGGTATTACAMTAAYAAGCTTTAGTACACCCTAATTGCATTGTTTTCTTTTGTGTCTATCTGTCTATCACACTTTAATGGTCAAATTTTGTTTCATGGGTTTAARGGCTTCACTCTCAACCCATGAAGCATAATTCGACTATTAAAGTGTGATAGTAACGTAAATACACTGAAAAAAACAGTAATGCAATTAGACCATACTAACGTTTACTAGAGCAATATCTATTTAACTACTTTTTTTAGAGTGAGGTCAAAAAGCCGTGCAATAGATATCASACTAATACAACTCMGTATGCTCTAATYRTATTGTTTTCTTTTTTTAATGACTTTACTTTACTTCACTCTACTTTAAAATAAATTAGCACCATTTAATTAGTAAAAGCTGTTATGGTTCTAGTGTTTGCACTCTATACACTAACAAGAAAACCTTTCTTGAAGTACTACCAACATGGCTGCCACTGAGCGCTGCTTYCGTCTTTTGCATATTTCTTTAACAATCTAAGTTCAACYCTTCCTGTGTAAGCAAATTSATTCCTTCAAGGTAGATTTATCCAAAATGGCTGTAGAATTCATTATGGTTAAAGCTGTTCATGACTTGTCAGTAGCCTATAAGAAACATATATATAATTTATGATTAGATTAGGGATTATAAATTTATTTTATTTGCTTGCTTATTATACAAAAAAAAACAGCAATCAAAATTATTTAGCTCTTTATGATTAATAATTAATTAAATACTTTAATTTATCTAACTAGATATAGCTTACTTTYAATTCTATTACTCTTAATTAGTTGCATTAATTCTGCGGTTACCATGATAGTTTATATTTAATATCATATTCAAAAAATATTAGCAATTAAAAGAACATTAAAATTTGAACAGCTGATTTTATCATTGGAATGTTTAATTCTTGTATCTCTACAGTCTATGTATAAAACTATGACTGCATGATMCTTTAAAAATAATACTTGTTTTGATGTACAAAATATCTAATACAACTCCACTTTCCAGTATAGTTACATTAAAGGGCTACTTGGATGGAAATTGCAAAACATTAGAAAAGACTTGGAAATCAAATATACCTATCCATATGGGTCTAATAATCGTGAGGCCACAGATTTCAAGAAGATATTGATACAAATCCATAATAATTTTGGCAAGAAATGTTGGAGTAGATGACGTCATTTACTCCATCCTTTTGTTCTTTCATCTTTTGAATAAAAATTTCTCTGATGTGGGATAATTGCCCAAAAAAAATTTTCCTGCAATTGTTTTTAATAGATATAAATGAGTCATATATTTGTATTGCTTGAKGTTTTGAAAATGGCCATTTTCATGCAAGTAGCACTTTAAGGGCCATCTTGGAAGGTACCCAAACCTTTGCATCAAAGCGAGACAGGAGTTGAGCCTGCAGTGATAGATACATGTACCTTCACCTACAATAATTATTTGCATGTATCTATCAATGCAARCTCTAGCCTCCTTCGCAGTCAACTGTACTCTGTGGGATTCCTGTGTTAAGKCAAAAAAGCTGCCGGAGGGGGAGGGGGTTAGGAAGTTAACAAGTTAATCTCTCCACACCAKTTCTTCTCAGTCAAGATTATGAACACAGGAAGACCAAGAAAAGAAAAAAGTCTGTTTCCGATGGAGTAGCCAGCGAAGGAGGCTATGCAATCTCAACTTTTGTCTCTCTTTATGCAAATGCAAGGCTACCTTTCAAGATGGCACTTTGAACTGTAAAATGGAGTATTGATATGACATTTAGTTTGGTTCAAAAATATTAGTATAATTTTTAACTTTATGCTTGAAAAGCTTTCAGATCTAACTCTGATTACAGTGTCAATATTACATGAAATAAGAATGATTTAACAGGATGGCTCTCTGACATTTAGCAGCCTCCACAACACTTTAACAAAAGACATACAAGTATGCTTTAAACAGAACAGTGTTGTAACAAGACCCTCCCCACTAAACTAGAAATCAGAAATTACATTGCTTTTGGATCAGAACAAAAGTTTTTTTCTCATCATATTTCGACCTTTTCTATGTATCTATTAGAAGAGTATGTCAGACAGACATTTTCCTCTAATTATTTTTTTTCCTGGTACACATAAAGATTACATGGTGTTTTTGAACAACACACGCTTCTCAACCAATACAAAAGGAGTAGTAACCAAGAAAATAAACTAACAAATGAAAAGGTATTGCAAATAAAATTATTTGGATGATATTTTGTCAGTTTAGGGTATCCAATGTTAACATTTTCTTCAGCCTTGTCTGGAAAATCCAACTCCGACCACTTATAGATAAAACTGACCATTTGCAAAACTGCAAAGCCAGACAGAGATGCAAGTGATAACAGAATTAACAAATAAATATTGAAAAGCTGAAAGCTGCAATTGCTGGATAATGATTAATCAAATTAATCATCTATTAAGTTGGCTATGTACACTTCACTGTTGTAATGTTTACAATGTCACACCAGACTTAGGTCACACAATCATCATATCATGATACAACACGTCTTCAGTCAGACTCACCTTATGTTGCAGTTCTTGTTTAATGTCATCGTCAGTCCCAAGGAGAGGTGATTTAGACTGGATACTAACTCCTTTAACTTGTAACGAMACATCGCTTACTTCATCASCRTCWCCTTCACTGTCATTATCTCCACATAWATCATCAATATCTTCATCTTCATCATCATCTTCATCACCCTCGTCATCACTCATGGATCCTAGATAGTCTTGCTGGTCTTGTGTTGTGAGTAATKTTTGTAATTCTTCAACTCCATCTTGACCAAGACAATTGCCTTAAACAATAAGCAAATTAAAGTAAGGAAAATAGATATAACTGATCATWACAGCAATAAAAATACCATGTATTTATTCTCTGGGACCAGCTGTAAAAAGCTGTGATAACATCACTACAGTGTAAAATGTACTGTACAGGATAAAACAAAATGGTAATATTATAGCTGTATGAAATACAAAACTATATATTATATGACTGTTTGAACTTGATTGTACCTGCTCTGATTACAGTGAAAATAGTTTGATTGACAGGTATGTTTGTAATATATAATTTATCAAGTCTCAAAACAATGTCAGTAGCTTTCAGAATAGAAAYGTTGATTGATCATAAAAACTGAAWGCAGCTGGGAAGCCAAAATTAACACTAACTTGTGYGTGAAAAATGCACTTTAYTTGAAGAAATGTTGACARCTMTGCWAATTAAACTAACATGATTGTATGARTAACTGTAACTTACCATTTAAATCAATCTTTTCTAAAAACTCCTTCTTGKCTAATGCCTTGGCAATGGCTAAGGCTCCATCTTTGTTGATTTCATCATATCCCAGATGAAGCTCCTGTAAGCAAAACAAACATTTCATCAAGAGTTGGTGAGTTCTGGAGAAAGCAAAAGGTTTATTAAAAATTATTCAGCACAAACAAAAGCATATAGTCCTCTCTGTAGCCATTCTAATTATCAAGACTGTCACACTACACTTTCTAATGCACTGTGGCCCCGATAATGACTGTATGGGAGACAAAAAATGGTACAGTGAAACAGTTATAAGGCTTTTTTTGCAAAAAGGGAAAAAAAGGTGTGAGTCACAATGTATTAACCACAGATTATTATATTAACCTTTGTCTCAGTTTGGARTTGATAAATTAATGGAAAGAAAGTTTTTAGCTTTGTGTTTATGATGCATGCAGGTACACTGTACAAGTTAAGCATTTTTTCACATTGCGCATTTATCATGACTGTCCTGTGTTTTGTTTTCATTGTGACAAGTTGCATTACTTAACTAACTGGTGAAAAAACCTCGACTCCAAACTTGAAGCAGCAATGATGTTCTGAGACAAGTTGAGAGTTTTTTTAGAGTTTTTTTTTTTTTTTCGTATTTCATATTTCTCAGGTGCATTGGCAATCACTGGAATGAGAACTGCTGGTAGAATAAGAGTTATGAAAACCAACCTTTAAATTTGGTGCTTCTTTTACAAGTACATCAGCCAGCATATGTGCGCCATCAGTTTTAACTAAACAGTCACCAAAGTTAATGATCTCAATGCTGGSAAGTTGAGGAAGAACCTACAGCATGAAAGTTATTATGATCATAAATTATAAATAGTCTACCACTGCAGTTATCTAAATCAAAAGGAATGCAACATTGATATATCCCATCTCCAACAAAATCCATTGAATGGAGAATTCAGGAGTGCATACTTTTTTTTTGTTGTTGTTGTTTTTTTTTAGTTTAGACTATGCTGGTTTTACTTCTCCTATCATTGAATGCTGCATACTCAAAGAGTCCAATGTGAAGGAAACATTCAATGACTGTGATTATGATTATGAGTCTCAGTGGTCCTAAACAGTACACAGTTTGTACTAAAATTCTTTTTGTCGAGCTTAGAAATTGATTCAATGAATCATGCACGTAATAATTTCACTTAATATTGAATTTCACCATAGCTCAGTGCTGTACAATCATGTACAATCATTTTTTTAAATTTAAATATACCTTTGCCATAGCTTCTGCACCCTTTTCTGTAAATATATTGTCATTCAAGTTTAGAACCTAGTTAAGAAAAATAGAAATATCAAACATTATTAAGGTGTGTCACTTAAACAGTTTGATATTTTGCAAGGAAATAGCATATAAACTTACTTTTAAATTAGGRTTAAATGCCATTGCCTCTGCAAGAGCTGCAATCCCTTCGTGTTGTATGCCATTTTGAGGCATCTGTACTTCTACTATTGTTTTGATTACCTACAAATATAACATTTTAATAATAGTTGATAATTTATAARCAAACTGCACTTTCAGCTGAAAAGACCATGTTCATAAACAAAGATCTAGTATGTACATAGACTAAAGACTCTGTAGTAGAACTACTGTAGTAGCAGGTCTCCTGATACTATGGGAGCAAGTTCATGGCACCTGTTTACTCTACATTGGAATTGTTGACAAGACCCAAAACCAATACTAGGGCAGCCAACAATGCCAGGCTCACCACTTGTAATTCATTGCTGTAGCTTTGTTTCATTAATCTAAAAGCAGACTTCAGGGTGAATTTGACCTTGCAAGCACAGTCTCCCAAAAAAACTGTCTTGAGAGGGTTTAAAAAAATCCTGTATTCCAAATTGGTACAGTAGGTGAATTTGAATTGGATAGAAATCGAATGTGTCAGGAAATCACCTATGCCATTATATTCTTTGTTACTAATGAAGAAAAAAAGCCAATGACAACAGATCCTGACTAGCCATTTATAGATGCAGAAATTCACATGACAATGTATGTACCTTAAAAGCTTCCGATAAAGCCTTAGCTCCTGGATTCTCCAAACGATTTCTACCAGATATAAATACTTCTAGTTTTAATGGTTTTCCAAAGTCTGAACTTGATTGATGGCAATCTAGCAAAGCTTTTGATAATAGCTGAAAATCAAAGTCAAAATCCCATTTAGACAAGATAACTAATTATTAACAAAATGATGAAAAAGGTAAAATTTGCAATAAGTCTCACAATGGACTAATGATTCAAGGATTTCTGCAGCACTTGATTGAATATTTTCAAGTTTTTTTAGGCAATAAAGCAGGTATTCCTAGTAAAAAAATTGCAGGAGAATGAAGCTCACTTTAATTTTTCTATCCTCCTTTTCCAGGTTTAGTGCCTCAATACAGTTTAAATATAAACAGACACAACAAAAAATATAACTGCATCTTAAAGTAATAGCCTTCTTCACAGGCTACTTCAACAGAAACAGACTCTATTCGCTTATTTGTCTTCCTGTGTTAATAATCTTGATCAAGAAGAACTGGTGACGCGAGATTAACACAGGGATCCCAGAGAGGAGAGTTGCCTGAGAAGGAGGCTAAAAAAGTATGGTAAACGTATTGTCACAATAATAACGCCAGGATTAAATTCAAATCGTTTGAGCAGCTTACTTTTCCTCCACCAACACCAAGTCCATTGTTATTAAATCTTAAAATCTTCAATGAGTAACATGCTTTACTTGTCAGCAGTTTTACACAAGCTTTGACTCCATCTGGTCCAAATGCATTGTCACTTAAATCCAGTTCTACAAGTTGGGCATTGGATGAAATAACAGCATCGCTTAAGGCTTCCTAATAAGAAATAAAATTAAAGACAGATAAGATTTAAAAAAATCTTTATTGATATGGAATTTAAAGGTCCTGAGTATCCTGTAAAGTAGAAACCCCTTTTGTTTTTGAGTTTGATAACCAAATATCTATGGTTATCTATAGTAAGAATACTGTTAGTTATACAGTAATGTATTTGGTTTGTATGAGATTACATACATGTACACTGCAGCAAATCAAAAAGAAACACCCTTGCAATGATATCGACAGGATTACAATCTACCAGAACTAGATGCACAGTATGATGTATGTACAGAAAATAATAATTATGTGCATCCTCTTACCATGGCTGGTGGAATTTCTGACCGAACTCTTCCTGTAAACATATCACTCCAYAATGCCCTCTAAAGATGAAAAATTTATAAACATTATAAACATTTACTGAAGAAGTGTTACAGTGCATGCCAACATCAATGAGTAACAAACTTATACCATTGGACTCATCTTTTTTTAGAATTGATGTAAATTGGTTATCATACACACACCCCTGCACACCCCCCTGCATCAAAAAGAAAATCGATACACAAGAGCATCAGAAATAGCATTTAGATCAATTAATTTGTGTTTCAATTGCCTTTATCACACTTTGTTTTGCTGTACTTATTACGAGAATCATACAAAATGCACAATAATTTTACCTCAAATTCTGGTCTTTTCGACAATGCCTCAGCAATGGCTTTAGCTGCATCAACACCAACAGTATTACCCTCTAGACATAACGCTTGCATGTCTTTAGAGCTCTTAATTGCTTCACAGATTTCATCAGCTAATAAAAAAGTTTCAAATCCAATATTGAATAAAACAGACAGCTAYATTGATTGTAATTAACACTGTCTTAGTGGTAAGACTTAATTTGATATGAATGCTACAGTATAAAGTAATGTACCATAAAGTTGATTCACTTAATTTTGTTGAATTATGAATTATTGGAATTAGTAATTTCAAAGCTATAGTAAAACACCAAATAACACTGAATATTTGAAGAACTTGAAGAATATGTTACGGTGACCAATTCTTTATCRCTTTGACTAAGTTTATTCTAAGTGTAAATGAGGTGCACCAACAATGCCTTAACACTTAATGCTCACCTAGTAAGCACAGCAAGCTTCTATGGCAACAGTTTGTCATAATACACGTAATGTCAAGGTAAAGGTTTATATAATTACATGTAATTTTGGCTTTTGCACCGTTTGGTATTAATATGGGCCTGAAAAAGTCCAAAAATACAGGCAAAAAACAGAGATGGAGTGTCTGACTGCAGTTAGTAACAAGAATGGTTTCAATTGAAGTCGTTTTAAATTATTAAATTTTTTCAAAGAATAAATAAAATATGTCTGAAGTAAGACACAACAAAAATAAAATATTGGTGAGGTGTATTCTTTTATCATTTTGTTTTTCTTCAGCAAAAAAAAATGCTGTAAGAGCTACATTTTTGATTAAGATTTCCATATTTTAAAGAAGCTAACTGGGTTAACTTAGTAAACGGATAATTTTAACATGGAAGCTAAGCATACAATTAATATGATAGAATTTCAGTACGGACATTTGCAACTTCGTATTTAATATAGAGAAAAACCAAAGGAGGATTCACTGATTTAGGATATCAACAATTAGTTTAACACGAATCAAAATGTTGCCAAGGAGAATTTGTTGATTAGATGAAACACATCACACTACTCAACTACACCTGCTTAAAACAAGCTTTTTAAGCAAACAAAGCATCTTAAAATAAAATATCTGCTAGTAGATTTTACCATCTTCAGCAGTATTCAGCTTAAGACTTCGGCCTTTGAACGACAGGAGATTCAGTTGCGCCACTTTCGTCTTTTCCAACARGTTTGTCACTTCGCCGACATCACTTTCCTTGGCCATTTTGAATTGATTGACCTCTGGAATAAGCCCCAGTAGTTTTCACTTAAATACAGTATTGTGTAAGATAACTTAGGAATTGAACTTAGACTTCAAAGGTTGAAATTTTCAGGATTTCATAAAACCATGTGCAGGGAAATTATTGAACTGCCGCCGAATTTCTCGGTTTGTCAAGTCGAGAGAGACTAGAACGAGAAGGCTGCTGACCAAATTTTCATCGATGACGTCATTGCCAAAATTAAATAATGCGAATAAAACAGCTGAAAATATCACTCATTTGCTTAAAGAAGAACAAAAATGAACACTCTTTCTGAAAATAGGGATTTTGTGGTGAATGTTAACAAACTTTAGCTACAATTAGCATGCATGACYCTCTGAGTTTTAGATGGGTTTCCTGTGTTTTTCACTACTGTCTTCTGATTGGCTGCTTCTATACACCAATCAAAGGCAAGTATTTTGTGAAGAACGAAGTTTGAATTTTATTTGAAAGGAGTCCGTAAAAAGATTTGTAAAATATGGATAAAGATCAAGAAGAAATGCTTAGGGAATTCTTCCARTTGAAGGAAGAGAACAGATTATTAAATGAGGAGAAAGAGAGTTTGTATCGCGATCGTGAATTAGCAGGAGAACTTGGCAAAACYTTGCTACARCAAAATAAGGAGTTGGAGACAAAACTCGAGGAGCTCAGCATTGAACATCATGATATTGTTATGAAATTGGAGGTAATTTCACTTTGTTTTAAGCTCAGTACATACAGGTATTAACAAAAGTATATTTCTGTTAATCAGTCGAGGTTTTTCCTCCGTAACAAACATAATTTCCAAAACGTTTTTCTCAGGAAATGAAACAAGAAAACTACTCTCTAAAGTCAAAGTTAGAAACACAAGCTCGATCAAAAGATCATCATCTTTACGAAATAGAAAACATCCAAAAGGAGTATGAGCAAACAAAAATGATGGATCAACTGACGAACGACAAAAAGCTCAAAGAATTGAAAAAAGAAATTACTTCATTGCAATCAGAAATTGAAAAGCATTTGCTGATTGAAAGTCAATACAAGGAAAAACTGGAACAGCAAGAACAAATTTTGGAAAATGCCCGCCAAATTAATAAGGAACTACAGTTAGCTGCAAACCTTGAAACAGATTTAGAAGAACAAAAACAGTTAACAACAGAGCTGCAAACAGAGAGAGATTGTTTACTAATGGAAGTAACACAGTTGAAAAACATGCACGAACAGTTGGCATTCGACAAGAAAGCAGTGGAGGAGAAATTCCAGTCAATTGAAGAAGAAATGCAAGAGAGGAATCGCCAGTCACAATTGTGGTATAACTGTTTACAAGTAGGTTCTTTACTATTGCTATGGCTAACCTTTTCCTGTTGTTGGGGGATTTGATGTCTTTCTCAACTCCTGAACAATCACTACTAAAGTCAGGCCCAGAATCAATCCCCAGGTCAATTCTACGTCATTCAGCATATTAGAAAATTATTATATGAAAATTATATAATTGTAAAATGTACATGTCCTACATTGTAAGTAGCATAGTAAGTTTAAACTACCAATTCCACGTATAATTACCAGTCAGAATTACGTAAGCAGCTTAAGGGGTTCTACATGTAAGTTTTGTAAAAACCCATGCTCATCCTAATAATAATAACTCCCTAGATCAATTATCATGGTCATTGATTAACTTATAAACTTATATAACAGGAAGCCAGGCAAGAAGCTGGGGAATTTAAAGCTGAGTTGGATATGCTGAAAGCTGAAATTGCAAATAGTAACTTCAAAAACAAGGGGAATTCATTATTTGGAGAGGTAAATTGATCATAACAAAAAGTGAAAAAATTATGAGTRRKTAAGTKGCCAGCATGGTGGTCATCTTGGGATCCCTGTGGACAATGCAGGCTACTAGATGGTGGAAATTGTGTAATATATAGTGAGCTTCAARAACTAAAATTGGATCTTAGATGAGATTTGGTAAATGTAGAATTAGATGAATCAAAGCTGATCTTGTTTTATTATCATTGYTGTAGGTGGAGGACAAAAGGATGGAGTTGGAGAAAAAGTATCTCAGTATGAAAACACAATATGACTGCTTGGTGAAAACTCACACAGTTACAAAACAACATTTGCATAAACTAAAGGTAAATAATGCAAAATTCAATTCTTATCACTGACTAATGTCTTTAATGACTGATGTCTAAATAGTTTACAGTATACTGTTTGTATTTTATCAGAACCAAGTTGCAGCCCTTCTRCAGGTCAAGGGCAACTCTGCAGATGTGTCACAGATGCAACGACTTCAACAAGCTTGTGCCCGCAAAGAAGGAGAACTGAAAATGCTTGTTGAAAAAGTCAGAGCCTTAGAGAAACAGCAGGTGAAAATATTCCCAATGCCTGGTAGATTTCTTAGTTTTTGGATATTATTTGTCAAATGTTCTGAGCCATAGAATGATGAATAACAAACAAATCTTGTATGGCTCCAGTTAATTAATTCACAGTTTTCAAGGCTTAACTCACTTAATCACCTTGTATATTGTACAGGCTGAAAATTGCTTCACATCTCGTCTGAAAGATTTTCATGATGCCTTTTCTGACTTTGGTGATAAAAAAGATTACATAAACTTTCTTGAGCTGATGCTACAGGATGAAAAGTAAGAAGATTCAATAATTAATATTCTTTTATTTAACTTTCCATTTGAAACTAAAAAATTGATCTTCTTAGGAAAAAGATAGAAAAATTACAGAAAGAGATTGAGACAAAAACTCTTCTYCAGTTGATTGAAAGTGACAGAGTCAGAAACACTGAAACTCAACTTCACAAAGCTGAAAGTACYGGAGAAAAATTCAAGGCTGAAAATATGAAGCTGAGACTGAAAATAGAGGAATTAAAGATGAAACTTCAACAAGGTTAATACACTCATTGATGAATTCTAAACAAAAATGAAACGAAATGTTAAATACAGATACAGTATATACCCATGTATATTTAAAACTTAGTCTAATTTACTGTACGTCTGACTTGTAGCAAAAAGTTCTAGTGGTCAGGAATCTGATATAAACCAAGGTCTAAGCAAGAGCAAGTCAACTTCAGCTATACAAAAGAAAGTTGTTGTCAAGCGTGTTAATCTGACATCAAATGACAATTCAAATGACACAAAAAGCTCAGATTGTGTAGCAAATATAGAAAAACAAGCACCAGTCAAGACTTGCAATGCAGTTGAGTCTAAAGACAATGAAGAGAATGACATAAAGGAAAATGATGTGTGTCCACCTAAGTTAATACCAGACAAAAAGTCCTGTAGTTCTGTGCAAGAAAAACAAGTAAGATTCCAAGAAAAATCTCTAGATGTGGAAGGAAGCCCAGAAGAAAGAAAGGAAAATACAGAACCTCTAAGAACAAGGAATGTACGTAAACTAAGCTGAAATGACATCAATGATAATGGTTATGACTTTTTGTTGTTAGGCTGTCAGTAGGTTGCTAGTAGCCTGTCATTAACAGTAGTTTGAATRTMTACCTGGAAATAAAAACATGAAATTTAGCCAGAGAATAGTAGGTTTTTGTTACCAGTCTTAACAASATGTTTTTGTTCTCTCATAGGAACAAACCAATGATAACATAAAAACACAAGACCTAAAGACTGCTGGAGGCATGGAAGTCATTGAAAAAGGACAAAGAAAAGCAGCTAAAGTTATCAATGTTGGTAGAGAACCTAAAAATGAATGTGCTCAGCAATAAAATTAAAAATGAATGGCCTCATGCAATAAGTACTGCAAAACAATTTTTAAATTATAATTTGTCCACWAATGGATGTTCACAAAAGACAAATTGTGGATTTCTGGTAATTGGCTTTTATAATGTCATGAACAATATCAAATTGCTATAATAATATAATACAAGTAAGGATGAAATATGGATTATGAAGGCTAACCAAGGCAATTTTGCTTTGAATTTTACAATAAAAAAAAATCTATATATAATACTGTTTTGCATGTCAGTTGTATTGGTGCATACATGCAAAGCTCCAACACAAGCTAAGTTTAAGTCAAAATAAGGACTAAATCAAGGATGTTTTTACTAATAATTGAGCTGCAGTAAATCTTATAGTGTTGGGCAGTTCCTTTGGCCTTCATAAGCAAACGAACTAGCAGGAGACTAAACTGTCACAGGCCAGCTTGGGCTTCTTGGTGTTCAAATTAAATCATATATTTACTGTTATATTATAAACTACACGTCTGACTCAATAGTATTCAAGTGTGTTTAATAAGTCAGTATGCAAGGTACAATAAAGTTTTTTAATATTAGAATAAAAATAATTTTCACACGCATTGTCAAAAATACACACCAAGGCCCTATCCAAACATAACAGAAAATCCAATGTAAATAAYTTTTCAAATATTATATTAGTTTTTGCTTTCAAAACGTTTTTACATCTGCACTAAAATCAAACACTTCTGGCTATGTAAGGATAGGGCATACAGCATTAAGTGTAAACATTGGCTTTTTGCAATCACAGGTGATGTCGATCTGATCATACAATCACATCTCCCCTAAAACAACCAGTTCWATCAAAAAACTACAAAGCTGCTTAGACAGCCCTTTGTACATAGACTTGCTTTTATCCTGCAAGGCACAGGATTATGACTTATGCAATAAACATAAAAACATAAAACTCTCAAGCAATAGTTGGGCAGCCCTTGCTTTGTAGAGTGATGTAGTGGGTTGATTTATAGGATAGATCAAAMACCCTGTTAGTGCAATGCCCAATATTGTTGTGCCTGACCTATAACCCTGTACAACCATATCTAACACCACTTATTATGAAAGAAAATCATGATTATTGAAAGAATGACACTAGAAGGTACTAACCTTGCAAACAAATGCATTATCATACTTGTTAAAAAAGAATAAATTTACAATTATTTGTTGTGGAAAAACCTTTTTTGACTACTGGTATTACCATCACATCTTTKAATCATCCTGACTTCAGTATAATTATTAATATAAGACCACATGAAGTGAAAACACTTTAAGATGAATTTAGGCATTAATATGATTATATATGGTGTATGACATACTCTTGAATGTGTTTTTAAAAGTAAGCATAAAGGAAAAAGGCTATTCAAGCTAATGTGCACATTGGTTAGAAGTTGCTTTCCATGTTTATAATATTATATAACTTTTCAAAATCAAAATGTTATTCATTCAGAATTAAATTTTGCTAACTAACCAATAAATAATACCAGTAGCTAGGTGATATTTTAACCATTTTTKCTCTAATTGACCATTACAGCAGTAAGTTCTTGTTATTCGTGTCTGCCATATATTAGTCATTTTTTGCTTGGTGAAACACAGGACAACTGCTCTCRCAACCCAGCCAGCTGGATTTGAACATTGGACGTCTTTATTACTGGTTTTCTAAAAAGTAATGGAAGTGTGAAATGTTTACTGATAAAATATGTATTAAAATCATATTAAAGAAAATTATCCCCAAACTTGTTCAATAACTGTTGGAAATAAACTTGTATATCAGTATAAAAAATAGTCTACAATATAATTTCAATCATGAACAAGATGCACACAAGTTCATTAAAGTTACCTTCAGAATAAGCTGAATCAGCAATGACAAGATATAGAATCTTGGGGTAGAGGTGCTCTTTATCACCAAGCAATTCAGTGATCTCATCAGAGGAAGAACTAACATTGGCATCTTCATCATCATTCTCTTGAATAGTCTAATATAAAATAAAATTCAAAATAGGTGTAAATTAACTGA